ATATATTTTTTTTTTCTCTCTTTATTTTCTTTTTTTTTTTACACGTGAAGATGGTGCTCATAGAGAGCAGGAGTACTATTTTTGCCGATTTATAGGCATTGAACGGTTAAATACACACAGTTGAATGTGTCAAAATGTCCGTCTTTGCAAGTTACCTCGTAAACACAGTAATTTAGGTCTTAAGTGAAAGCAAACAGCTGAGAAACAGCTTACATGTGTAACAGTATATTGGATCCTGGCAGCTCTTAAAGTGACAGCAGTTTAATATTCCTGCTGTCTGTCATTCATGTTAATCAAACAACAAAAAAGAGAAAATCTCTCACTGCTTCTTGACTAAATCACTTTTGTAACTTTAATAAAAAGAAATATATATATACAATGTATGTAACCGCATTTGTTCTACTGAAGTTTTTTTGTCCTATTGCTTGTATTTAGTTTCTTATTCTTATTTAATCGCAGACTGTTTACTTGTCTTCAGTGCGCTTGAGTTTTTTATTATTAATTTAGGCTAGTATTAGTTTTCTGTGATATTGACACTGGTGACAAGAATTATTTCTATGGTATTAAAAATGTTGATATCAAAACGACCTTATTTAAAGCAGAAATATCTATATTGTGATATATATTGTTACTGTGAAATAAAATTACTCATATCGTGATATTAGATTTTGATATCCACCCCTAATATTAATATATATATTAATATATATATATATATATATATATATATATATATACTGTATATATAAATATCCCTTTGCATTTCACCATAATTATTTATAATATGTATTTGCTATATTACCATACACAGTTGTATATGCATTTGCCATAATACTATTTATAATACCTTGGGAGTACCTGTTGCATTCAAGGAGACTTGAAATCTCATATAGACCTATGTCAAGTAATGCCACCACATGACAATTTGTCGCTACTGAGAGGTTTGTTTAGTAATGAATGGAAAAGGCGGGAAATGGTGGCAATGCCATGGCATGCCTGATTCATCACTGACAAAATTAGAAAAACAAAAAAAAAATTATCATTAAATCCTGATTAAATCTGAGTCCCTCAGATGTTTTTCCAACCTAAATTTCATGCTCAGGATTTTGGGAGACTAGAGATTGTATGCAATTAGTGGCCAACCCATGCAGCTTCAAACATCTAAGCCTTGTAGGGCTGTCAAAATTACTGAAAAACTAAGAATTATATTCGAATTTAAAAGGCATAATTTCAGTTAGGGGGAAAAAAAGCTTTTGGCTTCTCTCCTGAGGCCACAAGAGGGCGCATCGAGCAAAATATTACACATGTTTCTTCAAAGAGTAATAAAATAACACGACTATCTTTGAAAAAAAGTGCGTAATATTTAAAATAATTGCTTAAACAATTAGAGAAAAAAAACTGCACCATGTATGTAGCATATGTATAGTTTAATACATAGAATCGAAAACCAATCACAAAGTGTAGGCTACTTTCTTCATTTAAAAACATGAGATACAGTGGGATGGGGAAAAACCGCCATAACGTCTTTAGACATGTTTTTTAAAAGTTGAACTTGCATTAATTTTACATGGCTTTCTAAACATGCCGCTCTCTGCGAGGCGCAAGTGCAACGCTGATAGATATCCCTCTAGAAAATGTGATAAATATGCGTTCTGTGTGAACGGCTTGGTTTCAGTTTTGATGTAAACAACATCTTCTCCACACTGATGCTCTCGTTTTCCGCAAAATATGAATGAACAACATAGCAGCGCCGCATCTAGTGGGTTCAACTGGATAGGCTAACAAAAGCATTCAAACGCAATCAATGACACATACAGTACATCGTCATCGCATCTCGTGCGCCACTGATAAGGATGCCTGACGGCTGACGCAGACCTTAAATTCGAATGCAACGTTTTTGCATTCGAATGTGGATATTTTTTTTTAAATTCGACGAATATTCGAAATTCAAATTTCTTTTTGACAACCCTAAAGCCTTGGTTTACTTGGTGTCTAATATCAGTTCACTGATAGAAGTCCAGAGGATTAGAAGATTAGTGCAAGCTGCAGTCTGTTCTTACCGTTGATGACACTAGGGGAAAGCAGAGTGGAGTCACGATCAGCCAGTCTGCAGGCTCCTTCCTCCAGCGCCTCGGGAAGCACCTGCGGAGCCTGAGCCTCCAGAGACTTCACAATATCTGACCGGTCAATGTTCTTCAAAGCTCCATAAAGGTTCTCCACTGAAGATGTGATGATGGAGGAGTATGCAAATACAAGGAAACAGTTACAAAGAGTAAAATTAGTTCATGTCAGGCACGGATTAACACAGGCTTGCCTAGGCTGCAGCCTATAGGGCCCCACGTGTGCAGGGGCCCCTGATGGGCCAGAATTTTTTTTTTAATTATTTTAAATTTACTTCAGTGCGAACAAAAAAAGACACTTACTGGCCCATAAGAAACATTAAAGGAGGATTCGTTGCAGAGCGTCTGACAAAATGAATGTCTTGTATTGTAGAATGCAAGCACTGCCGAGAGTTTGCGTGATTATTAAATCGAAACCGAAAGTAAACTGCACACGCATTCAAAAGCACTTTTAATACCCCGCGTTTTGAGAGCGACTCCCTGATGCGCGCAAATTAGGCTACATACAATATCTAGGCTGTTATTAGTGTGTAGGCTATAATAGGTTGTGTAGTTGTCTATAGCTCTGTATCATGCTTGAAAAATTTGGTCTCTATTTGCACTTTGAATATTGAGAGGGTTTGAATTCTTTGAACACGTTGAATTCCGCCATTTTGGAGAGTACCCCAGAACGTCATCGATGTAAATCAGCGTTGTTTACGTTCAGTAGACAGTGTGCGTATGCTGAACGTAAACAACGCTGATTACATTCTAGGGTACTCTCCAAAATGGCGGTAACTAAAAAAAGTATTCTCATAGCTTCGTAAAATTACGGTTGAAGCACTGATGTCACATGGACTATTTTACCGATGTCCTTGCTACTTTTTCTGTACCTGGGAACATTGCAGTTGCATTGCGGTCTACGGAGGGTCATTTTTGGGTGAACTAACCCTTTAATACTAACAATCAAATATAATTTGAAAGCATTTTTATTGTTTATTAAATGTTCATTTCAACATTTATTAAAATGAACTAACATGAATTAAAATGTTAGTTCTGTGTTTTTATTGACTAACATTAACAGTGATGAATAAATACTGTTATTTTCACCTTTTGTCCACTTTTTTAGTTTAGTTTTGTTTTAGTTTGAAGTTCACCTTCCATTTATTTTTTTATTCCAGTTCAGGGCTTTTAAATTAATAGTTCTCATCTTGGTTTATGATAATAATCCTGCTGTATAAAGCCACAAAGATGTAGAGTGTTAATTACTGATCCTCACTCTTGGCCTTCTTGCCCTCTCGGCTGACCCAAAGGTTGAGCAGAGCTGAACTCTGGTCCAGGAGCGAGTTGGGATTTTCCACTCTGATCCGGTTAATGTCATCCACACTGAACTGCAGCTCCCTCGCCAGCTCTATATACAAAAACAGACAAAACCACTTATAAAATGTGAGTTAAGGGAAAAACTGAGGTAATGAAAAGAGATACAAGAAGTAAATCGCTTACCGGTCCAGCTCAGTCCCAGCTGTTCTGCTATTACAGTGATCTTTAGCTCGGTTCTCTCTATGGCATTCACAGTGGCTGAATAAAAGACAAAATATATCACTGTTTCCACAGACAGTCCAATGATGAACCACTTTATTAACATACCCAGCCATGCTAGTGGATAATATATATTTCACTGTGGCTTTCACTGAAATACAATATAGACTATAGATTACAATAACAATATGACCATATATTTGGGGTTAGTTGATTTATGGTCTTATCTGTCATAAATAAAGAACTGAACATATGCACTACCATTTAAAAGTTTAGGATTGGTAAGCTTTGAAATTATGCTAACAAAGGCATACATCAAAAATACAGTAAAAACTGCAATATTGTGAAATATCACTACAATTTAAAATATTTTTTTCTGTTTTAATATGTTTTAAAATGAAATTGATTTCTGCTAAATTTTCAGCATCATTACTCGAGTCTTCAGTGTCACACGATCCTTCAGAAATCATTTTAAATGCCAATTTGCTCCTCAAGAAACATTTTATATTATTATTAATAATGTTGAAAATAGTTCTTGCTGCTTAACATTTTTGTGAAAACCATGATGCATTTTTTTTGTCAGGATACTTGATGAATAGAAGTTCAAAAGAGGAGTATTTCATGTATATCATGTTTGATCTAAAACTCCAACTTTTGAACAGTAGTGTATACTTGGGGTTAGTATATACTGTATATATATGAATAATGAAAATAATGTTCAGTAAAGATCTTGTCAATAAAGATCCGAATAACATAATGAAAACAGCCACCTCTAGAAATCTATCATTTTCATTGACAACTGTATATGAAATTAATGTAATGGACATATTACAGCCACTATATGGTAAAACACCTTGTAAAAATGCCAAGATACAATAAAATCACCAATATTAGTTACAACTGGTGACTGAAATTATAACATTGGTCATCACTTACCAAGACCTGGTCAAAATCTGCGCTCTACATACATTAGTTGGCTTCATCTGCTTCAAGAACAATGGAGATGCGACGTGTTTTGGATGGTAAAGTTGATTCGAACCTCCTGGACCCTTTCTATAATCACTCAAAACCTCTAAACAGGCAGTTTTTAGCAGTCCTTTCCCTTTAAAACTCATTCTCAAAGCTGGAGCTTGCCATGCTGAGAGTATTTATGCTGGAATTAAACCAGCACCATGCGCTACATTACTGCTCATTCGCTCAGTAAATATAAGGGCCGCCCATTTTTCTGAATTGTTTGTGTAGGTAGTGGCCCCTCTGAGCGCAATCCCAGCATCACCCTCATAAAAGAGAGCAGTGCTCAGCATCCAATGCCCAATCACAGCCATGCATGAGAGAGTGGGCAGGTATAGAAGCAAGTATATGGGCACAGCATTCAGAAGCCCCCCTCCTTCACAGCTGAGGGGACGCGTCATGGTGCCGCTATGTCTTACCCAGGCCAGGCTCGTTCAGGGCGCTGTACCTCTCCCTCAGGGCGAGAGGGGTCAACGTTCTCCGCCGCTCATCGCTACCCACCACCTAAGACAAAAATACAGTAAATACAGTGCTGCAGTCTTTCATACAGTATTTATCAGAGCATGTAAATTCCCATCAAGGAAAAGTGCTCATGTATAAAAATAGCTTGAAGGTGTTATAATACACAGAAAGAGAATCTGGAGACAATATTACATCTGAAACACCAACTGCATCCTTTTATTTGCATTTCTCTTTTTCCTAAAATGGTTATGTTTACGAGATATATTTAAAAACTAATTGGGGGAAAATGGGATGACTTGTTTTTCATTTTTTAAGGCACAAATCTAATGTAGACTCTCAAAAATAACTTCTCATTTAATTTTAATCCAATTAAGTACAATTTAGAATGACTATTATTTCTGTAGCCTGCACCATAACCTTTAAGGAATATCTTGAGATATCTCTATCTCTATGCCCTGAAGAAGAATTATAATTTATTTCATTATGCAGTTTAATTGAATCCTAGAGTTAAATGGTCCACTCTAGACAACTTGTACAGTCAAGTGACATAAACTCCACTATGATCAGTTAAAAAAAATGTTTTTGAGTGTCGAGTAAATAAACGAATAGATAAATAAATACATTATTTATTTAGACAGGATTAGGTTCCTAAACATTTTTAATGCATTTTTTAAACAAAATACACATATCCCCAAATAACATTTATTTATATATTTTAAAAAAATTATATATATATATATATATTTATTTATTTATTTATTTTTTAATTCATACATTTAAATTACAATATTTTAATGTTGTTTTCACATACAAATAATGCGACTGCTTTTGTTACCAAATTAAGTCAAGTTTTGCCTACGCTCTACTGTATTAATATTTAAGGGTGTTCACACTTGAGTCATCTTAAGAAACAAACTCAGACCTCTTCAGTGACCAAAAATGTAACTATTAATTTTTCATTATTTTTAAAATAATTATTAAATTTGATTTATTTATTTATTCGTTTTTTATTACAACCTTTTATTTTAGTTTTCATGTTGAATGTGATTCCAGGTAGTCCTTTAACCAACAACAGCTATTTACCAAGAAAGTTGACAAAAGGTCTACATTGAGCGAGTTGATACGTTTGGAAAAATACACATGGGATTGGAATTCTCAGAGGTCTCCCAAGTTGGATTCTGCCCAAAAATCAATAGGGAATTTGCTTTGAAATTTTTACGGAGGCTGAGTGACAAAAACACAGACGTGCAAACCAGTTTTGTCTGAACAGAGTTCATGAGAACAAGTGCAAGTGTTACTGATAACAGAGGAAATGAACAGCGACGGTACCTTGACGCAGGGAGGCATGGTGATGTTGAGGTTGCACAGCACGTGCTGCGTGTCCTCGTACTTAGTAGACTTGCGCAGGAAGGACAGGAACCCAGTGGCTTCCTTATTGGCGTCTCTCACCTGATGAGCCAGGGGAAATGGAGAAGGAGGGAGGAACAGTTGGAGAGAGGAGAACAGAGGGGTGAAAACGAGGCGAAGGGTCAAATGAGACCAAAAGAGAGAGGGAAGATGAATAAAGGGAGTGAAAGAAGAGATAGAGAGGTAGAGAAAGAGACAGATTAAATAGTGTTAGACAGAGCAGCTGCCCGGCTGTGACTCATACAGGTTGGCGGGAGGTGGGGAAGGGAATGGAGGCAGTCCATAGGCAGGCGAGAGACAGAGAGAGATTTACCTTCACTTTTACCTGGCCGTCTGTGAGATCAGACATTAAGAGAGTGACCGTGAGAGAGAGAGAGAGAGACAGTGAGACAGACATACAGACAGGCAGGCAGATAGACTGGCAGGCAGGCTAGAAGGTGAAAGAGTAAAGGGCATGCTCACGAGACTAATACAACAGTTACGAGGTGAACCGCTACACCACAGAGCCAAAAATACAACACAGAGCAGCTCGTCCGAGGCTGACCGATCACAGAATGAGGTGCGGCGTGGAAGCCACAATGACAGACAAACAAATGGAGGGAGGGAGACAAGTGGAGGGAGAGAGAGAAAGACAGCACTGGGGGAAATCAGAGACACTGAGGACTAGGACTGCACCATTTGGACCAAAAATATTGACAAATATTGCGATTGTGATTCCAGCTGCAATTGATAAAGGTTTAATAACTCATACAAAAAAAAAGAAGCATAAAATCACATTGAAACAAAAGCTCGCAAAAACCAGAAGGTAATGTCTGTTGTTTCAAAATCAAGTCATGTTTTTCCACACTCTACTACCAGTACTGTTCGAGGGGGTTTACACTTTATTTTTTTGTTATCTTAAAAAGAAGTGACTGAAAAGTAAACTGAGTTAAAAAAAAAAAAAAAACAGTTCCTTTTGCATGCACACTGGAAGTGGACCCGAAAGTATCACACAGTTTCTTTATCTCTTTTTGTCCACTTTACACTCACACATCAGTTTTTTAAAAAACAACACCACTTGAACATGATTATTATTTGCAGTAGTAATATATTAATTATTAATATGATCTATTAATATTATCTAGAATAGAATAACATTTATTTTTAAAATCTTATAATAAACTTATTTTTAAAAAAATTATTTGTTATAATCGCTTGCTTTCATCTCTTCTCTCGTGACACCATTAGATTTTTTGAATAATTTGACAACAAAGTTTGTCCACTTTATCTCTTTTTGTCCACTTTTCATTCACACATTGATTTTTTTTAAAACCACACTACCTGAACATTCTTCTTATTACTGTTAATAATAATAATAAAATAATATTTTAATATTAGAATATGATTTATTAATATTCTCTAGAAAATAAAATAATGTTATTTATTACAACATTATAAAAACATTTTTTGTAATTTTTCTACATTATTAGATTTTCATATTAACTTGACATAATAAACTATTCTTCTTTATCTTTTTCTATTATTAATAATGATAATAGTAACTGTTTATTCTAATAATATTTATTAATATTATCTAGACTATTACAATAATATAATTTATTGTAAAATAGTATAAAACCTTTTTCTGTAATATTTCTGTTATCTTTTTTACTGTTATCCTCTCTTCTGTGACCCAGTGTCACATTATTAAATTTTCATAATAAATTGTAGTGGAAAATTTTTTGAAATTACATTAATGTAAAAATATAAAAATATGAACCTGAAGCACTTTGCGTTCAAATTGGACGATATAAAGAAATTGCAGAGCAAAATGCAAACCAAGCCACATCCTGAACCGCTTACTGACGCTCTGGGGTCACACTAAGCCATATTACAATTTTGATTTTATGATGATTTTATTTAATACATGTGAAGCCCTACTGAAGACATTAGGGAGTACATAAAACTAAAACTAAAGATGATCAGACAAAGTGATTAACAATGCTAACACACACACTCACACACAAGAACGACACACATTTAATGACACACAAATATGTGTAGGGTGACTGAAAAAAACAAATTATTGACACAGGGAAGTTGGCGTGAACTTCTCAGCCTATATTTCCCAAGACACACTCACAGGCGGACAGAAATAAATAAGGGAAAGACAGACGAACCGACCTTTACAGAGACAGGTAGCCGGTTGTCTCTGAAGGCTTGGAAACTGAAGCTACGTGGCTGCTGGGTGGTTTTCCTCACAGGCACCAGGTTTCCGGAACATTCTAAGTGCAGCGGCATCCCCTCCATCACCTGTGGGTGGAAAAGGAAGGAGAAACACAAGGAGAGCAGTGAGTCAGAGACTTAGCATTAATGCAGTGAGTTCGTTTTATTTTTGTACACACGCACATGCACGTGTACACAGCTGCACAGATATGATTTTATGTTAGCTAACCTCTATGTCTCTGCTGCGGGCCACTTCGGAGAAGTTCTCATGCAGCTCAAGGGTTTTGTCTATTTTGTCATCGGTCATGCAGTAACAGCGCAGACGGCCCTCTCTGGCATCGTTCATCTTAGCAAATACCACAAATTTGGCCATATACGGAACTGACATCAGCTCACGGTACAGCAGGTTGGCGAAGGTCACGGCCTCCGCCGTTCGAGGACAGTCCGTCAGCCAGAACCTGTGGCGAAACAGAGGACAGAGCACATACAATAGACATCAGAAAATAGGGTCACAAGAGACAATGTTTACTTGTAAATGCGTATAAATATAAATGTGTGACAGGTCTATGGTTTTCAGTGGTGGCTACCATGAACCTGAGAGGGGTATTGAGCAAGAATGATGGCATTGTTTACTTGCACACACTGTCTGCTTTGTAATAAAGGCTCCATCATTTAATGAATTTATGCTGCAATTATGATTATAAAAGTGGATACAAACAAGAAAACTAAGCAAAAATTAAACAATAAATAAATAAAACAAAAAACAACACAATAAAACAAAAAACAAAGAAAATCAAACTTAAAAATAAATAAATAAATAAAAATTATGATTAGAAAGTGGATACAAACAACAAAACGAAAATTAAACAATAAATAAGCACAATTAACCAAAACTAAAATTTACTGCCTATTTTTAAACATAGTAACAACACAAACAAAGCCAGTGGTCAAAAAAACAAACAAAACCAAACCAAACAAAAAACCCAAACCAAACCAAAAAACAAAACAAAACTGCTGAGATTAGTGAATACAGTGCGACCCATAGAAAACATTTGGCGCATCATAAAGAGGAAGATGCGATAAAGAAGACCTAAGACAGTTGAGCAACTAGAAGCCTGTATTAGACAAGAATGGGACAACATTCCTATTCTTAAACTTGAGCAACTTGTCTCCTCAGTCCCCAGACGTTTGCAGACTGTTATAAAAAGAAGAGGGGATGCCACACAGTGGTAAACATGGCCTTGTCCCAACTTTTTTGAGATGTGTTGATGCCATGAAATTTAAAATCAACTTATTTTTCCCTTAAAATTATACATTTTCTCAGTTTAAACATTTGATATGTCATCTATGTTGTATTCTGAATAATAAATCAATTTGAAACCTCCACATTGCATTCTGTTTTTATTCACAATTTGTACAGTGTCCCAACTTTTTTGGAATCAGGTTTGTACTATAATATTTATGATCTAGTGCTATTGCAGCACATATAGTGACTGGTTAAAACATATTGCATGTAGTTAGTAAATAATATGCATATTTCTGTGCTGAAATACATGCAATGCACAAAATAGTGCAGCTGTTTAGTAAATTTGCCCCTGGGTGCTCTATTCTTGCGTGCTTTTGTGTCTCACCTTGCGGATACATTGGTGGTGAAGTTGGCACAGTTGTGGGAATACATGAGCTTGGTAGTGCCAGTGATGTCTTCCCACTGAGCGGGAGCAGTGCCACCTGCAGAAAGTTTCACACTTTTTATAAAACACCCTTTTTTTTTTTTTACCAACGCCATCTGGAATGAACTTGCTGAGTCTATCTTTATCCCAGTGTCCCTCTCCAGGCAAGACACCAGTCTGTTTCAGCCTTTTCCAAGCAGCTTGGAAGGGCAGCTACATCAAATCTGGCTGAGGCTGAAAAAGACTGGCGTTCAAGACAATCTGCCTTTCTCCAAAACATAAATATCAATTTCAGACAATGTTTTTTTTTTTAAATAGATCAGGACCGGACCGTACCAATAACACTGCAGAGGAGGCGGAGGCTGGTAGTGTCTCCTTCTCCGGCATCGCGTGGACTCTCCCTCCAGGATGGAGGCAAACAGATACGCAGCCCGATTGGTCGGTGGAATTTGCGTCGACGAGGCTCCACTGTCACAACGGGACTGAATGTGGCCTGGTTTCCTAATTGCCGAGTCAGCAGCTCATCAGGGATTGGCTGGGCCTGGGTAGAGAGAAGAGGGGAAAAAACGCTGAATTCATTTTCAGTCATTCTCTGCTGAATTTATGCAGCAACCTTGAAACAATATTTTTTTATTAATATATAATTATAAATAATAATAATTATTATTGTTATATCATTTTTATGTTTTATTTTTATGACAATGCTTACAGAATGTTAGATAAACATTTTTCTCTTGCAATACATCATTATCAATTTTATTAACAAAGGTAAAAAAAATTTTTTTTAAGTATCACTCAATCACCTTATGAGTTCTGATTAAGTGCAAGTTCAGTTTGAATGGGCTTATGGGGCTGTAATCATATATTCTGTATGAATCATAAATGTATTATTGTATGCTGATATTGCTTCACTGTCATTCTCTACATCATGAAATCTCCTGAAATCTCACCTGTAGGCCAAGTCGGACCCTCTTAGTGACCGCCGTGTCAGGGAAAATGGCCTGAACCTGGGGCACCAGCTTACTTGTCAGCTGACCTCCCTCTGGACCTATAAGATCGCTCTCCTGCTGGATACGAGATACCACAGCGAAGTAGAGAGGGAAGTCTGTGGAGATGATGCGGCGGATTCTTTTCTTCTCCAGCTCCTCCTGACTTTCCAGATCTGATGAAAGCACCAAGAGATTACAAGGTCATAAGGTCAGTCCTACAGAAATTGTTGGTGCAGTGTAAAGTGATATGTAATTTGTCTGCTAGTACCTGCTACATAACTGAAACAGAAAATAAAACTATAAAAGGCTTATGGGAATTCCTCTCAGTGAAACTTAAGACTACCTTCATCCATTCCATTAAGGATGGTCTCAAGAACGTCATCGCCATAGCGGTTCCGATGCTCTTTCCATACAGAGCCATTCTCACTTCGGAGAACCACTAGTTCCCGATCACCTCGGCTCAAGGATGCAAAATGAGGGATCTCCACTATCACTGGCCTGAAGGAGATGATGGGAAGGTGCAAAAGCATTAGTTATTGTATTGTATTGTTCCTTTATTGATTGATAGAGGAAAGACCACTTGGTACAGCAGCACAATAGAAAGGAAAGAAGAAGAATATCCAAGAAGAATATGCCTTTCATAAATACCTAACCATAAATAAAAATAATATAAACCATATATAAAAAATAATATAAGTAATATAAAAATATAGTAGACAATAAAATAGGTCAATTATTAGTGACCCTCGACCACAAAACCAGTCTTATGTCGCTGGGGTATATTTCTAGCAATAGCCAAAAATACATTGTTATGGGTGAAAATTATTGATTTTTCTTTTATGCCAAAAATCATTAGGATATTAAGTAAAGATCATGTTCCATGAAGATATTTTGTAAATTTCCTACTATAAATATATTAAAACTTAATTTTTGATTGGTAAAAATTTCGAAAAATTCAAATTCAAAAAATGTATGACTGGTTTTGTGGTCCAGGGTCACATATTATATTATTATGTGATTTATTATTAGTGTTTTTTTGTCAGAAATCTTAAAAGATCTTTATTTGACAACTAGATTCTGAGTGAATACAATAATATTTATTCGCAAATATTATTTTTTTATTCTGTATTATTTAGTTCAACTATAAGCACTACAAAAACATTCTTAAATCAAGACATATCAATATACAAATTCAGATTTGCTTAAGTCTTGTTTTCTGAAAAAAGTACCAAAATTAAGTGATTTTACACTTAAAACAAAACAAAAAAAATCTGCCAGTGGGGTCAGAAAAATAAACTTAATTCAAAGGGAAAACTAATTTGTTTTTCTTACCCAACTAATGTATCTTGAGTGTTTAGACATTTGTACTGGTAAACAAGACAGAAATACTAAGTAAGAAAGAAATACTAAGTAAGAAAGAAACTAAGAACATACTTTTTTTGTAGTGACAAGTATTAATTGAATCATTAAGGAACCAAAGTAGCAGAACCAGAATCTTTATTGCACAGTGAATGTACAGTGCTCTCTCCCACCTTCAATACCACGATTGAGGTGCCCTTGAGCAAGGCACCGAACCCCCAACTGCTCCCCGGGCGCCGCAGCAAAAAAAATGGCTGCCCACTGCTCCGGGTGTGTGTTCACGGTGTGTGTGTGTGTTCACTGCTGTGTGTGTGCACTTTGGATGGGATAAATGCAGAGCACTAATTCCGAGTATGGGTCACCATACTTGGCCACATGTCACGTCATGTTCACTTTCACTTTCACACATATGGACCCTTACCCCAGAAACTGCATACTGGAAGGCCCTAGAGAGATAATACGAGACGCGAGTCCCTCTCCCTCCACGAGAGGAGGTGGGGTGGTGAGTTTCTGCGGTTTGACCAGACGGCAGGTGATGCGTGTGGGGGCTGCGCAGGTGCGCGGTGGGATGATCACACGCAGACCATTATGCCTGCTGCCACGCATGGACCCGCCTCTCGCATCCACCATGAAGCTGACCAGAAACCTGTCAAACAACCAGCCAGTCAGCAAACCGGGTACAATGACTTTTCAAAACAGCCGGAAGCCCAGTATAAAGCAAAAGCATCTTCAAAAGAACCGACTTCCTAGACACTTGATGACAGTGAAGACAGGTATAAAAATAAGCATTTATGACCAACAGATAAATACGGAGATAAAAGCGGTGAGAAGCCATTAGCAAGGGTTGTTTAAGCTGAATGTGAAATCTGTGCACTGACCCAGTGTGGATGGGGCTGGCCACTGGGCTAACGTTGTCTGAGGTCTCTGTGGCTGGACTACTGGGGATTAGAGAGTCCTCGTCATACTCCTTTGGCAAAGGGACAGGTGTGTGCTGCAGACACACAGGAGTAGCACAGATCACACAGACACAAAGACACACACACAAACAATGACAGCTTTATGAGACTAAGAGAGAGAAAGAGGCAACTTTGCTTGGAAAAACGGGTCACAGCAGCTTCTTAAGCTGTTTTGGAACAGGGTCAACTAACTCAAGCTCCTTCCAACTTTGCCAAGAGGTCTAGCGGTCCCAACAAGCTTGGAAAAGATGGTCTACCAGGCTGGAGTCCACTAGGGGGTCTCGACAAACGTTCAAGTGGGGCTCAAAATGACTTCAAATAAGACAAGCATTAAAATAAATCAAACAACTAAAAATTTTAATATTTCTTATTTTAATTTACCCCCTCAACAACTGGTTTTGTTCCCAGGGTCTTAAAAATCCTGAATATATGAGGAAGCTTCATTCTAAAAGTGACTTATAGATCTGGGAAAGCCATGTAAATGAATAAAACATTAAATTATTTAAAATAAAATAAATTATTACTTCAAATAAGACAAGCATTAAAATAAATCAAACAACTAAAAATTTTAATATTTCTTATTTTAATTTACCCCCTCAACAACTGGTTTTGTTCCCAGGGTCTTAAAAATCCTGAATATATGAGGAAGCTTCATTCTAAAAGTGACTTATAGATCTGGGAAAGCCATGTAAATGAATAAAACATTAAATTATTTAAAATAAAATATTAATAAAAATATTTTTTTTGTTATACAAAGCTCTAAAATGCTGTATCAGGTAGAAATTGTGATTTTTTTTTTTTTTTTATATTTAAAAAAAGTAATTATCCTTAATCCTTAACCAGTAAATCACAAATGACTGGAAAAGTTACATAAATGAATTTGTTAAAAAGAGTAACAACCATCAAGAACATTCAGCTCTTAAAACCTCAGGAATTCTGAAATTTAATTATAATTAATATTTTATTTTATTTTATTTATTTGACAGGATCTAGGAGTGACCATATATTAAAACAGGTTTTTTAAACAAAACTAGAACTAAGGGGGCCTTTGAATAATGTTGTGTACAATGAGGGGCCTTGGAGTCGAGACCTTAAAAAAGTGACCAGCTAGAAACCACCAGAACTGGATTATTTTGTAAGGAACATTTCTTATTTCAGCACATGAAGCGAAAAAGAACAATACCTGGTCCAACATGACAGTTTCAGGTGACACACATGGAATTCTGGGAATTGCGGGTGAGTAAGGTCTGGAGAGAATGAAGGAGATATTTGTAATCTAACTTTAATAGAATCTTAGCCAAAGGACACATTTGTTGCATTGTGCTCTTGTGACCTACGTCATGCCCATCCCGCTCTCAAAGTCTCTCAGGGTTTTCTTGGGGGACAGAAAATCATCATCCTGGTCTTTCAGGTCATCCAGCTTCAAATAGCGAGCCCCATCCATCCCGAGAAGTTCATCACCTACATACAGCACCAAATATGTCAGAGACACTGATGTAAGAGGTTTTCAGGAAAATTAGGATTAATAGAAAGTAAAAAAAGCTTAGAAATTATTTCATCATTTACAATCCACCATCAGCACATACAAGAACCTTCACTCATTCACCAAGTCCAAGCAATGAAGTCATACAAACACAGAGCCAATGTAAAACATGAAGAAATCAAGATACTCGATAAGATTGCATGGCACTGGTTACTGAAGTGGGCATGCCTGGTAGTGCAGAGAAGATCACACTTAATCTGCATGGGAGAGATAGTTTGGTGTTATTGTAGGGGCTTAATCACAGGTGTTCAGAGACGCGTAAAACAGCAACTGTGACAGTTCATTTTGGAGCCCTCTGCTGAGTCAAATAATCATCATTAGTCAATTACTAAAATTATCCACTCCCAGTGTGACTCCCATAGTGTTTGGATAAAGAGAACCTCATCTATGGGTGTTTCTTAACTACAGGCACTATTATGTCCCAGTAGTTGATTTTTTATTAATACAAACACATTTATAATTTTTTGATGTCTTTATTATTTATTTTTGATAGTTTTCGAATACCTTTGAGACCAGATGAAACTTCTAAATTATCTGAGCTAACAGAGTGTGTTAAAAATGTAAAAGACTGGATGACCAATCATTTTCTCCTATTAAATTCAGATAAGACAGTGATATTACTTATTGGACCAAAAAAACAGTACACAGAATCTCATAGATTAAAATTTGCAACTAGACAGGTGTACTGTTACTTCTTCTACAGTCAAAAATTTAGACAGCAACTTGTCTTTTGAAAATCATATTTCCCATGTTACAAAAACAGCATTCTTCTATTATAGGACCACTGCCAAGCTACGGAACATGTTACCGGTTTCTGATGCAGAAAAGCTAGTTCATGCATTCATGACCTCTAGACTGGACTATTGTAATGCACTGCTAGCTGGTTGTCCTGCATCTTCAATAAACAAGCTACGGTAGCCCAAAATGCAGCGGCTAGAGTACTTACCAGGTCAAGAAAATATGATTATATTACTGCCTTGCCTTGTCTGTTTCCTTTGGTGTTGATCTTGAGTATTGTTTAGCGTTTATCGCTCCCCTAGCGATAGCTACACTACAGAGCCCTCAGTCGTTTCCTAGCCTTAGCCTTAGCCTAGTTTTGCCTAGCCTTGTCTGTCTCCTTCGGTTTTGATCTTCGCCTGTTTTCCTGGACTTCTCCCTTTAGCCTTGCCCCTGTGACTCTGTCTGCCTATCGTCGACCAACGCTAGCCCTGTGACTATTCTTGTGTCTTGCCCACCATATTCCTGGTTGCCACTGATTACCCTGCCTGTCTGATGACCATGTCTCTGTCTTCTCCAAATAAAGCTTTGCATATGGATCCGCACGTCTCACGTCTCGTCAGCCCCGTTACAAAAGTCCACTAAAGGAGGTAGAGCTTTTTCACATTTGGCTCCCAAACTCTGGAATAGCCTTCCTGATAACGTTCGGGGTTCAGACACACTCTCTCTGTTTAAATCTAGTTTAAAGACACATCTCTTTGGCCAAGCATTCAAATAATGCATCTCATAATTTGTACTGCAGTTATATCTGATCAAATGCACATTATTATTCTTTAGCTTGGGTTAAACAAATTAATTTTGCTTGGTTGGAACAGCAGCTACGCTAATTATGTCTCTATTTGTTCCTCTGTTTTTACACAAGCTTCAGTCTGGATCCAGAACACCTGAGAAGAAATGATGCCAACCCTCAGACAACATACAAAACTACCAAATTTTGCTACAAGTTCGATTGCAACATATAATCATTGCTGTTAATAGTGTTCACCGTCTGTTTGATTACATTACATTAACTAACTGCTTGATTTTTACCGTACATTTCTGCCATATGGACATCAACTTGAGATAGTCACCACTGATAAGCTATTACTAAATATAATGTAGAAATTTTCATTTTCTGTAAAGCTGCTTTGCAACGAATTGCATCGTGAAAAGCGCTAAACAAATAAACTTGAAATGAATTAAATTAAAAATTAAGTATAAAAGTGCCCATGGTTGAAGAAACACCCTTAGAACAAACTGAGAACACAAAGTAAATTTCGGATGCAGTCCTGTCAATGATGGATCCACAAACACACGTTACTGTCAGTAAAGGAAAAGAAACATCATGGCCACACGATGATGAGGGGCCGAAGCCGTAATAACACGAAGAGACATGTTAGAATAGAGAGCGGTTAGAGAGACTTGAGGGCCAGAGACAAGATGAGAGTGCTTGAAATGAAGGCACACGTTTCACGAACTACTGAGAACCGGACAACCAAGCCAGAGAGAGGGAGACGCTCCTACCTAATGTTAGCTGAGCAACTCCTACGGCAGGAAGGAAGAAGGAATATTTCAGGCTGGCGATGCTACCGTAGATTTACAGTAGATTTAGATTATCATGAAATACTTGCTTTTGCTTTTTCAATCCATTAAAGTCCTGAATAAATGGAAATTTATCAATCATCTCTCAGAAGAAACAAACACATTTAATGATTAGATCCAAGGAAGGGAAGGGATCAGTGAAAAATTGAATAGCCCTGCCCAAACTTTGTCTTTCCAAACTTTTTCTTCTGTAAAATACATAAGGAAATATTCAGCAGAATGTCCAAGCTGCTCATTTCTTTACAATAAAATAGGTGGTGACCAATGGCTAACGAGCATAAAAAAGACATAAAAGCACCACAAAAGTGTCATAAAAGTGGTTCAATCCAATCAAGTGCTATATTCCAAATCTTTTGAAGCTATGTGATAACTATGTGTGAAATTTCAATTGAAATGATTCACAATATACACAAAATTTTAATATACATAAATTATTCTATGTGTGTAAATCACAGCACTATGAGTGTGATAACATCTCTAATCTCTGGTTTACTTCAGACTGTCACTTTTGGGATATGACCTAACCAGCTCATCTGCCTACTGGCTTGTGTTTATAATCGAGAGTCTAGCACCAACCTCATGGCACTGAGACCTTGTCACAGCAGCTGAGAATCAGTGCTTTAATGCGGCATTTACTGTGGTATGATCCTTCAGGCTAAATCCAATCTGAGCCACCCGTACGCACCTTCATCTTCCGACACGTCCAGTATTTCATCCACCGTCTCCGGGAAACTCATGCGATGCTTCTCGGTGGTGATCTGAGGGATAGAGAGGGAATATATGAACAAATCGAGATGGCGAATGTTGCTCAAATCAAAGATGACAACCAGAACTGAAAGATGATGATGGAATAAAAAGCCTTGAAGATTGAAATCACAAATTCAGACCAGATAGTGTTAATGAGATGCAAACGGCTCTCACCATAGATATGGATTCCTCAGTCACCAGTTTCAGCACATCAATGACAGAGATGTAGCCTAGCCGCTTAGCGATACCCAGAGGTGATGTCCCATTCTGCCACAGATAACACATAGTCAGCTTACTAAATCTGACATCTGTACAACAAATAACACCTTATGTTTACAGCAGACGACTGGCAGCATGACAGCAAAAATGTATACTATTTTTTTATGAGAAAAATTTTATTTTAAGTATGGGGGAAGAAGGTCTGCTCACAGTGGTGATTTCATTGGGCAGGGCTCCATGTTTTAGCAGCAGGGTGACGATGTCTGTATGACCTTGCTGGGCTGCTTGATGTAAAGGAGTGTATCCCAACTGGAAAAGAAAGATAAGGGAAAATTAGATTGCAGAAATACATACTGACACTGAAAAGTGTGTGAAAAGAGGCCTGTGTAGTGTGTATAGTACATCCAGAGTTGTAGCACTCACTCTTGTCTTGCTGTTAACATGTGCTTGCTGCTGGAGTAAGAACTTTACCATCTTTATGTTCCCATAATGACATGCCACATGTAAGGGTGTGTAGCCCATCTAACAGAAAGAGAGATTTAAAAGGGTGAGAAGGAAAATAAGAAGTGAATGACTAAACGAGTAGGTTCCAGGGCATATAGACAATCAATGCCAGTTAATATTACAAAGTGTTTAACAACCCAAAACATTTTAAAGAATTAATTTTGAAAAAGTGAAAGATCACAGCTGAATTTCAGCACATTTCATTATGTCCCCGAAGTAGTGGTGTTTGCTAAAGCAAGCATTATTATTAGTATTGCTGATAAGGTTAGGTTTTTTTTCAGACACATAAAGCCTTGAAGCTTTCATTGATTGAGGGATCTGAGCCATATTTTGGTATCAGAATATCAAAAAGAACTGAGAAAGCTTATCTGTCTTGCCCTTAATCAATCACTCAGAGCACCTCAGCAACTGCACAGAAACTCTACTGCACACAACTCTAAACACCTTAAAGAGGTAAAGATTCACTTTTGTGTTTGCATATAAATGTGTCTTAGCAGTGTGTGGACACAACCACCCTACAATGATAAAAATGCATTCACTCCTTTTTTAATCCCCAAAAAGCCTAAAAAGACTTAATTATCAAGCTGTTTTGATTTTCTGAGCAATATGACATCATACTGCTCAGGCCCCGCCCATGACCGCCATTAGCATATTCCCACCCTCAGCCAGTTGTATGCTGTGCGAGCAGCTGTAGCGACAACAATGTCTTGTAGGCAATGCACGTGTTTTATAGTTGGATGCAAAAGTGAACACGAGACTCCTGAGATGAGAGCCAGTGAGGACACAGTGGATTAGTTTTGTTTTTGATGGTAATGTGCCACTGAATACACAAAAAAACTAAGAGAGGGGTGGGGTGAGCAGTAGCTCATTATCATTTAAAGAGACTGTTTTTGACAAGACAAAAAGGATGTTGTTTTACATGACCACTGAGGAAAAGTATTTTGCCGACATTTCATGAACAACTTATGGAAAATGGGCATCTGATGTCCCCTTTAACAACAGCAAAACAATGCCCTAAAACACGCAGAACACCTTAATAATTGCACCAAAAACTACCCAAAACATAGCATAGTGTTGACAAGTTTGTAGTGGTCAACCTCATTCATATTTTCTTCAGTAAATGTAGATCTAGCACTGTTTGTCAATTTAGCAATAGCACAGACTACATTGCACAAGGCTCTGAGGTCTAAATTCTAGGACATTCTACAGATGGCCCTGCTGAGTCCGTGTGTGTTTCTTTGTGCATTGAAGTGTCTTACCCTTGAGGCTGCATAGACTGAAGCACCCTGCTTCACCAGCATGTCTGCAATGCCCACATGCCCTTCCTGAGCAACCAGGTGCAGAGGTGTCAGCCCATTCTGTACAAACACACACACACACACACACACACACACACACACAAAAAGGATATCAGAGGAATATTAAATGCATCCTTTCCATTCCTTGTGCCATGTTCTTGCAACACATCTCAATCTTTTTTAGTTTTCTATTTATTCTCGCTCTGACGTAGACCAAATACCAATTAATCAAAGTTTAAAGACTGTATCACCTTGTTGCCCAGGTTAACATTGGCCTGTTTGGAGATGAGCAGTGCCACCATATCAGGCTGCCCCTCCTGTGACGCCAGGTGAAGCGGGGTGATGCCCTGTAGTGATTCTGAGTTGGCATTAGCGCCATACTGCAGCAGACTGCTTGCCACCTCTAGTTGGTTCTGCTTGGCTGCGATATGCAAGGCTGTGTAGCCGTTCTGTCAAATGGAAGAAAACTAAGAGTGACTGTTTTCTTGGATGGCTTTTGAAAGTGTGAAATAGACTGCAACCCTTAACGTCACAGCTCAGAATAGTCACTTGCCAAGATCTTGTAATGTGTATGTGTATCTTACTCTCGCAGTGCTGTGCGGAGAGCCGCCCTTGCTGACCAGCAGCTTGACTACATCAAGGTTGTTGTGATGGACGGCCACGTGCAAAGGGGTCAAGCCATTCTGAGAGAGGAGAGAGGAGACACATGGCCTCAGTCAGCCACCGCTGACCGTCATCTGATATTAGCAGACGAGTACTGAGATATCAGATGTTTGTCTTGATTAATTACCTTTCCGGCTGCATTGGGATTGGCCCCTCTTTCCAAAAGCAGCTCCGCCACATCCACTTTCCCGTATTTACATGCTACATGTAGAGGAGTAAATCCTTTCTGAAAAAAAACACAGATATTCTCATTGAGAATGCAGATGAAGATGTGAATATTTTGTTGTTATTTATGTAAATGACCCTTTGTTAAGCTCCGCCCACCTCAGTTACGGTTGCTAACAGGCTTTACAGAATGTCGCATTTTTTGAATAATTTCTATAAGACACACAAAACTCCAATGGATGGCAACAGATGCTAAGGTACGATTGGTCAGAAGCATTTTAAGGTGGGGCTTAGCAAAGTGTTAGCTAGAGAAAAAAACCTTGGTCATTTTGGTTTGTTGGGCATTCCCGTCAAGCAGGATGCGTGTGGTTTGGGCGTGTCCCTCGCGGGCGGCGATGTGCAAAGGAGTGTGACCTGCCGTGGTGGTCGAATCTGGATTGGCCTTATGTTCCAAGAGCAGCTTCACCAACTCCTTATGTCCCATTCGAGCCGCACAATGCAAGGGGGTTTGATCATCCTGTGAAACGAAAGAGAGACACATAAGATTTTTAAAACAAAAGAAGATAAATGGAGATAAATCAGCTTGTATGATCAGCGTACCTTCGCTTTGGCATCCACCTGCGCATTGTTTTGTAGCAGGAACTGAGCCACCTCACAGTGCCCCGCTCTGGCAGCCATGTGCAAAGGGGTCTCCACTTTCTACAACAGCACATTGAAATACAGTCACAAAGATTTAGTTCTGAAAAGAAAACTGCGATCGTTGCCATAATCGTTGCAAAATACATTAGCCCATTTGTAAAACAGAATAGCTGTGCCTTTGGGATTTGATTGTTGGGTATCTCTGAGGTTCTGAATAGATTACACAGTTCTTACCACATTAGATGCGTTGGGTGAAGCTCCTCTCTGAAGCAGACTCTTCGCTATATTGAGATGCCCCATGAACGCAGCCACATGAAGAGGGGTCAGACCCGACTAAAAGACAAGAACATGCATTTTTGCACTTTCAATGTGTTTAAGGGTTCTGTCATTCATAAATAGATCAACAAAAATATAACATGTAATTTAATATAAACATAACATATTAATATTAATGTTTAATATTAATGTAACATAAAAATTATTTATGTAAAAAAAAAAAAGAATGGTGTTATTAATGCTGCATACATTACCAGTCAAACATTGGGGGTCGGTACGATTTATAAATTAAAGACGGAACCAAAGCACGCACATCAACGCAAAAAAATGGCTCAAAATTGGGTGCTCGACAAAGAAAACAATTAACAACAAACAAAAGTTGACACATCATAGGCTCCAAAAATGCACAAAGAGCCTGTGAGCTTGAAACGTTACCTTGTGTAAACTTTTGTTTGTTTTTTGTTTTTAAAAGCTATTGAAAGAAATCTCTTATGCTCACCAAGGCTATATTTATTTGATAAAATATACAGTAACAACCATAATATTATAAAATAATATTACCAATTAAAATAACTGTTCCTTATTTTAATATACTGTACTTTAAAAAAAAAATTTTTTCCTGTGATGGCAAAGCTGAATTTTCTAGTCTTCAGTGTCACATAATCCTCCGGAAATCATTCTAATACACTGATTTGGAAGTACTTCTTATTACTATCAATTTTGAAAACAGTTGTGCTGCTTAGCATTTTTGTGGAAACGGTGAAACATAAATAGAAAGTTCAAAAGAACAGCATTTATGAAATATAAAGCTTTTGTAACAAATGTTTTACTGTCATTTTTGATCAGATTAATGCATCCTTGCTAAATGAAAGTACTAATTTCTTGAACAAACCTTACTGACCCCAAACTTTTGAAGGGAAGTGTATTATGTTAATATATTCTTGTCTTGTGACGTAAGCGTGAAGATGTCATTGTTCATTCCTACAGTCTTTCTATTTTCTACAAGGGTCAAGCTAAAGGCGTAGATGGTGCAAAGTGAATAGAGGTTATCCATCAGAGTGACAGCCGGAGAGTAATCTGACCTCAGTCACGGCCTCCAGAGAAGCTGAGTGCTTCAGCAGAAGGTCCATGGACCGCATGTGGTTCTTCTTGCAGGCAATGTGCAATGGAGTGAATCCATTCTGAAAGACAGTCCAAAAAATCAACTGATATATATACACGGTGTTCAGCTGTACGCTATTAAATGTAGGATATCAAATTCAGAATATGGAATAGGAAATTCTGCTTGTTTTATGGATGTAATCAATTACATTAATTGAAAACAACAGATGGACTAACCAGAGCACGGGCATTAGCTTTTGCCCCCTTGTCCAACAGCACCTTTGCCATGCGGTGGTGCCCACAGTGGGCTGCAACATGCAGCGGGGTCAGGTGGTCCAGGGTGATGTCATCGATCTCTGCGTTGTATTGCAGCAGCTGCCTCACGCAGTCCATGTGATCACCCTGAGCAGCCATGTGGATGGGAGACAGGCCGTTCTGCAAGGAGGAACACATTATTATCAATTGATCAGCATGATTATGGGATCAATAAAGCTAAAAATCCATCACTGTGTGGCCCATCTTAGTAAGAGTTTGGTCACCTTGGTCTTGGCCTGAATGGGAGCACCCTGGTCTAGCAGGATCTCCACCACACGTACATGACCATTCCTGGCTGCACAATGTAGCGGCGTCAGTTCATCCTGTAGACAACAGAAAGAATAAGCAATTTATTGATAAGGATTTATCAAGTCAAGTCAAGTCAAGTCAAGTCTGCTTTGGGCTCTGGCTCTTCTTAGTTTGCGGAGGAAGTAGAGACGCTGCTGTGCTTTCTTGGCCAGTGCTGTGGTGTTGTCAGCCCAGGAGAGATCCTCTGTGATGTGCACACCCAGGAACTTGGTGCTGCTCACCCTCTCCACAGTCACACCATTGACAGACAGAGGAGCATGCTGAGTCTATCAGCCATGTTTCAGTGCATCCTACATGAGCTGCATTTTCTGTCCTTATTCATGTATGCATTAAAGCATACCATTAAAACAGCAAGTTGTCACAAAGAGATAATACCTCTTGACAGGGGAAGTCGTGGCCTAATGGTGAGAGAGTTGGACTCGTAACCCAAAGGTTGCGGGTTCGAGTCTCGTACCGGCAGGGATTGTAGGTGAGGGGAGTGAATGTACAGCACTCTCTCCCACCTTCAATACCACGACTGAGGTGCCCTTGAGCAAGGCACCGAACCCCCAACTGCTCCCCGGGCGCCGCAGCATAAATGGCTGCCCACTGCTCCGGGTGTGTGTTCACGGTGTGTGTGTGTGTTCACTGCTGTGTGTGTGCACTTTGGATGGGTTAAATGCAGAGCACTAATTCCAAGTATGGGTAACCATACTTGGCCACATGTCACTTGTCACTTACCTGTTTTTCCCAAGAGGAAGTAAAATAGGTCATTCTCCATGGGCTAGACTTAAATAAGTCAGATTCAGCAGTGCGATTTTTCATCTCAGCCTTTTCTCATCTCAGATTTTTATGTTGTAATTTACTTTTTAGTTTGAATAATTTTTAAAGGGGTCATATGAGTTGCTAAAAAGAACATTATTTTGTGTATTTGGTGTAATGAAATGTGTTTATGCGGTTTAAGGTTAAAAAAACATTGTTTCTCCTCTATGCCCCGCCTTTCTGAAACGCGTCGATTTTTACAAAGCTCATCGCTCTGAAAAGCGAGGTGTGCTCTGATTGGCCAGCTATCCAGTGCGTTGTGATTGGCCGAATACCTCAAGCGTGTGACGTAAATGTTACTCCCCTTACCATATTGTGATGCCCTGTCCGGCCGGAGCGACGAGACAAAAACATTAAAACCCATTATAAACGAGGCATTTGTTGTATCTAGTGGGGACATAATCATAGATTATAATGACTTATACTGTCTTTTCACACATTGCATCGCGCCGCGTAAACATAAAACCATGTCTGCATTTGTGATCGGGGAAATGACAAACAACAAGCTCTACTTTACACTGCTCAATACTCGCGTTTGAATCGTCAGTGGCAAATTCTTTATATATAAAAAACGTACTTACAGTCTGTGCGTCAGAACAGCCGGCATTGTAGTCTACTCTCCCAGGATCAGGAAACAGTCCTCCATAAAATGCGCTGCACACATCTGAATATTTGGGTTGAAGTGTTCTGGAACAGTGTTGTAAATACAACTTAACCACTGATTTCTAGTCATGTCCTCTTTTGGAAGGCCAAACAAAGTAGTTTCGCTTTCACAATGAAACACAGCGTCATACACGGCGGGCTAGAGTGAGCGGAGGCCAGCGGCTAGAGTGATTTGACGAAGGAGCGTCCGGTGGGCTTACAGCAACCACATGTGACGACCCCGGGCTGGACTCCGATCCGGCGATCCACAGCGCGATGTTGATGTATTTCCTTTTTTTTGCGACCAGCAAAGATCAGCTCCAGGCATGACGAAGCGGATATCGTCCTCTTTTGGAAGGCCAAACAAAGTTGTTTTGCTTTCACAACGAAATGGACAGTATCTTCACGACACGGCGGCAGCAACAATACTACAGTGAGAATAAAAGTTACGCCTTCTTTCTTTGCGTGAACATTTTGGCAGTGTTATGCAAATCTTCCCACATGGTGACGTAGATATGTGGGGGCGTGTTAGAACAAGCCGTTTTAGGTAGGTGTGGTTGACTCTTAACTTTTATAAAGAATATCTCTTTGGATTTGAGACTTTAGTCTTTGCAACTTTACAGATCTTCTTTATGCACCAAGAGCTTGTAACACTCCAAAGAGAAAGGAAAAATTTAAATAGCATCATATGACCCCTTTATATATATATATATATATATACTGTATATATATATATACTGTATACACACACACACACACACACACACACACACATATATATATATATATATATATATACACACACATTGTATATATAACATATATGTGACCCTGGACCACAAAACCAGTCTTAAGTCGCTGGGGTATATTTGTAGCAATAGCCAAAATACATTGTATAGGTCAAAATTATAGATTTTTCTTTTATGCCAAAAATCATTAGGATATTAAGTAAAGATCATGTTCCATGAAGATATTTTGTACATTTCCTACCATAAATACATCAAAACTTAATTTTTGATTAGTAATATGCATTGCTAAGAACTTCATTTGGAAAAATTTTAAGGTGATTTTCTCAGTATTTTGATTTTTTTGCACCCTCAGATTCCAGATTTTCAAATAGTTGTATCTTAGCCAAATATTGTCCCTTCTTAATAAACCATACATCAATAGAAAGCTTATTTATTCAGCTTTCATGTGATGTATAAATCTCAATTTCAAAAAATTTACCCTTATGACTGTGGTCCAGGATCACATATTTCTTAAAGATATACATGTATGTGTGTATATTTATATATATACACATTTATATTATGTAAACACAAACTTTTATTCTGAATGCGACAGATATTTATCAAATAATTTTATGAAATTTTCTTTGGAGTTTTTTTTTTTTTATCTAATATTTAGATTTAATTTGATTTCAGCTTTATTTCAATTAATGAAAATTATTTTGATTAGTTTTAGTTTAAGTTAACAATAACAACACTGCAAACTGAGATGATCAAATTGATTATGAATATTTTTTGCACATCCCTAATGGATACTGCACCTTTGTCTTGGCATCTATCTGAGCTCCTCTGTCCAACAGAAGCCGCACCATAATCACATTGCCCCTTCTTGAAGCGATATGTAATGGAGTAATGCCATTCTTCAAGAGAAAAGGAGAGAAAGTGAGAAGTTCATGTACATCTTTCACATAGTAGTAGGAAGCATTTAACGTGAGAGCTGCACTGACCTTCGGCGTGAAGTTCACATTGGCTCCTCTGTTTAACAAAAGCTGTGCAACACTGAGATTCTCATAATGGGCTGCGATGTGGAGAGGAGTAAAGCCGGTCTACGGGAAAAGAGTGTAGCATTTCATTGATTCAGTGTATTTACAAAACAGGAACACCTACGCTGATGGATCTTTAAACAAAGTCAGTTCTGTTTATCTTGTCACATAGTCATCACTGCAATTACAAGCCAAGAGTGGCTACATTGAGCTCAGTGAGTCATGATGCATAATCTCACTCATGGTGAGATAAAACCTTTCAGATGTGCACAAACACATACTTTGCTGAGGACATCTGGGTTTGGGTCATTCTGCAGGAGTACGGCAGCAGTGCGCGTGTCGTCGTTGCGTGCCGCGATGTGCAGGGCCGGCAGACGCACTTTGCCCTTGGTGCCATAGTTTATCAGGAGGGCCACCACGTTCTCGTGACCCTGCTGAAGAGCTACCGCCAAAGGAGTAAAGCCATCCTGGAGGGTGAAATCAAGAGTTGTAGGGTCACTTGGGTTTGATTTCTGCTGAGTTTGATTTCATCGTGTCACTCACCTCAGTTGGAAGGCTCTGATTGGCTCCATGTTCAAGTAGATATTTCACCACTTCCAAGTGGTTCTCCTGTGCTGCCATGTACAGGGGACTGAAACCTTTCTGTAAAATATACAAAATGACACCAAAGAACAGATGAAACTTCTCATCAACATGTTTCTAGGTTTGTTGATTCATGTTCTTGAGGCTCAGACTAACCTGAGACTGGGCATTGACGTTGGCACCATAATTGATCAGTTCAGCAACCACTTTCTCTTGACCGGCCAGAGCAGCAATATGAAGGGCGGTATTCCCTTTCTGCAAAATGAATAGTCATGTAAACATAATACAGAGAAAGATCCGACAATGCATGTTAAAAACGTTTATAGCATATACAGTACTTTGAAGAATGTAATTTGATTTTATTGCTTTTATTTGATTTATTTTTGCTTGTTTTAAGGGCTTTGCAATTGCAAATGAAAAAAAAATGCGAAATGAGCATGTGCGATTCTTACCGCATGAAACTGTGATTTTATTTATTTATTTATTTATTTATACTTGGTCCCACTTTATATTTGGTGGCCTTAACTACTTAGATTTAAATTAATCATTTGATACAATGCACTTATTGTGTATATACATGTATTTTCGTTGTACTTAAACTTTAAAAAATACCTGCATGTAATTACATCTGTAATTCATTTCCGTAATTACATTTATAGTAAAACTTTTGACCCATCCCTTACACCTTAACCCACCCTTAAACCTACCCATACCTAACCTTACCTGGATCCCACCTCAATAGCAGCAAAAGTGTTTTGCAATACAATATGAACACAATAAGTACACTGTACTTATTTTTGATGTAAGTACATAATAGTTAAGGCAACCTAATATAAAGTGGGACAATATACTTTAATTCAGAATTCTGTAACATTCTGATTTTAATGCAACAAAGCAAGAGTACAAACATTGTTTTATGATTGGAATTTAGTCAATGTTAATTTATTTTGTCTTGTTTGTCCTAAAAACATAATATTAGTTTTGTTGAATTGTTTTATTTTTTATTAAAATGTCTTATATTTTGACCTGTGAAGCACTTTTACCTACATTTTGTGTGAATGGTGCTTTAAAAATAAAATGCATTATGATTTCAATTTAATAGAAGTGCTACTTGTTATTGCGAGTCTGTCAGTCAGGTGGCATTAGTGGGAAGGACATTCTCATTCTACAGATAATTTAATTGGACAAAAAATGTTTTAATGAAAGACAAGTCATTAATATTTTTGATACATTTTCCCAGATGAGATAAACTGTACATTTTAAATACACAAATTTACAATTTTGTCAACATGTCATATTTCAAATCATAGGAATGATGAGAAAAATGTTGCTTATTGCTTTTTAAAAACCAACATAATAAATGCAATGTTTAATAAATAGTTATTTATTAATAGAGATTTTCAGAATAAATATTTCTTCCACTAGGTGACAGTTCATTAACAGTTAATATCTGTAGGCTAATGACTGTTTACTGAACTACCACATTTATAAATCTGTTTTTGGCCTGCTTGAGGAAGCCCGACTGACTGAAGGAAATAGATTTACCTTTGTAGTAGTCTCCAAGTCAATTCCATTGTGCAGCAGCTCCAGCACCATCTTAACATGGCCCTCTTTGGAGGCCAAGTGCAACCCGTTAAGCCCATTCTGCAAACACAAGAGAAAACATGAGGTGCTGAAAAACCCCGTCTCAAAAAAACCACCCTGACACATCTCAAGTCTATCTCTTTATCTCTCCCCGTCTACCTGTCAAATGACTCACTGAGAGGAGGGCAGCCTAAAAATACCACAAGGAAGCACTGAGACATCTACAGATCTGTGGAGCTCTCATTAAACAGGGTGTGGAAATAGAGTGGTGGAGGAAACAGACAAAAAGCCGGGAGAGGTAAAGGCCGATCGGAGAATGGCACACGGTACAGTGTGTGCTTCTGCAGAGAAGCTAGGTGTGTAGTCTGGAGCGACCATAAGGGGGCTCTGCACTGCTAGTCTGACTGGAATCCCCTTCATACTGCAGTGTCACTCATCTCTAATGAGCTCCTACTGCAACTGCACAGTGCATGCGCAGAGGAGAATACAGAATGGAGATGGAGGGGTGCTTGCAGACGGTGGGGAGGAGCCCTTATGAAAACAGCCACACGTGCCCGCTTGGCATTAATATTCTCTGAATGTGCTTTATAATATCTTGGGAAATAACGCACAGTATTGAAACCCATGCTCAGCGCTATGCGTTCATGGATCTGCAACACTGGTTCTTTCATATTTTTATATATTTATTATGATGTTAGGTTTAGTAAGATTTTCTCTTTAAAGAAATTCATATTTTTTATTTAGCAAGGTTGCATTAAATTGACCAAATATGAAAGTAAATACTTTTTTAATTGTTATATACATTTAGGTCCATATACTGTATATTTGGACACTGACACAATTTTCATAATTTTGGCTCTGTATGCCATGAGAACAGAATTAAAAATTAAACAATCAAGATGAAATTGAAGTGCAAGCCTTTAAGCTTTAATTCAAGGGGTTGGAGAAAAATATAATATAAAATGCTTATGAATTACAACCATTTTACCATTTTTATACACAGTCCCCCCTTTTTGAGGGGCTCAAATATAATTGGACAAATAAATATAATCAAAATAAAATGTTAATTTTTAATATTTTGTTGAGAATCCTTTGCAGGCAATGGCTGCCTTAAGTCTGGAACTCATGGACATCACCACAGACTGGGTTTCCTCCTTTGTGATGCTTTGCCAGGCCTTTACTGCAACTGACTTCAGTTCTTGTTTGTTTGTGGGTCTTTCTGCCTTTAGCTTTGTCTTCAGCAAGTGAAATGCATGCTCAGTCGGGCTGAGTTTAGGAGACTGACTTGGCCATTGCAGAATATTCCACTTTTTTACCTTCAAAAACTCCTGGGTTGCTTTTGCTGTATGCTTTGGGTCATTGTCCATTTGTACTATGAAGCACCGCCGAATCAACTTTGCTCCATTTGACTGAATCTGGGCAGAGTGTACATCCCTGTACACTTCAGAATTCTTCTGGCTGCTTCTGTCTTCTCTCACATCATCACTAAACACTAGTAACCCAGTGCCACAGGAAGCCATGCATGCTCATGCATCACACTGCTTTATCATGTTTCACAGATGATGTTGTATGCTTTGAATCATGAGCTGTTCCAAGCCTTCTCCATACTTTTTTGTTCCTGTCATTCTGGTACAGGTTGATTTTAAAGGGGTCATATGATGTTGCTAAAAAGAACATTATTTTGTGTATTTGGTGTAATGAAATGTGTTTATGCGGTTGAAGGTTCAAAAAACACATTATTTTCCTCATACTGTACATTATTGTTTCTCCTCTATGCCCCGCCTTTCTGAAACACATCAATTTTCTCATCGGTCTGAAAAGCGAGGTGTGCTCTGATTGGCCAGCTATCCAGTGCATTGTGATTGGCCGAATTCCTCAAGCGTGTGACGGAAATGTTATGCCCTTTACCATACTGTGATGCCGTGTCCCGGAGCGACGAGACAAAAACATTAAAACCCATTATACACAAGGCATTTGTTGCATCCAGTGGGGACATAATTATGGATTATAATGACTTATACTGTTTTTTTATGCGTTGCATTGCATCGCGCTGCGTAAACATAAAACCATGTCTGCATTTGTGATCGGAGAAATTACAAACTACAAACGCTACTCTACACTGCTCAAAACTCGCGTTTGAATCGTCAGGGGCAAATTCTTTAAATATGAAAACGTACTTCTGTGAGTCAGAACAGCCGGCATTGTAGTCTACTCTACCAGGATCAGGAAACAGTCATCCATAAAATGCGCTGCACACATCTGAATATTTGGGTTTAACTGTTCTGGAACAGTGTTGTAAATACAACTTAACCACTGATTTCTAGTCGTGTCCTCTTTTGGAAGGCCAAACAAAGTATTTTCGCTTTCGCAATGAAACACATAGCGTCTTCACAACATGGTGGCGGTGGCAGCAACAATAAAGTTATGCCTTCTTTCTTTGCGTGAACATTTGGGCAGCGTTATGCAAATCTTCCCACATCGTGACGTAGACATGTGGGGGCGTGTTTAAACGAGGCGTTTTAGGAGGGTGTGGACCAGTCCTAACTTTTATAAAGAATATCTCTTTGGGTTTGAGACTTCAGTCTTTGTAACTTTAAGGATCTTATCTATTCACGAACAGCTTGTAACACTCCAAAGAGAAAGGAAAACTTGAAATCGCATCATATGACCCCTTTAATTTCAGCCGTCCAAAGAATGCTTTTCCAGAAGTGGTCTGGCTTTTTTAGCTGTTTTTTGGCAAAGTCTAATTAGCCCTTGTTTGCGCCTTGTGGTAAACCCTCTGTATTTGTTCTCGTGAAGTCTTCTCTTGATTGTGGACTTTGACAGTGGCACCTCTACCTTCTGGAGAGTGTTTTTCACTTGGCTGGATGTTGTGAAAGAGTTTTTTCTTTACCATGGAGAGGATTCTCCAATCATCCACCACTGTTGTCCTCCGTGGACGACCATAGGCCTTTTTATGTTTCTGAGCTCACTAGTGTGTTCTTTTTTTCTCAGAATGTACCAAACTGTTGATTTGGTCACTCCTAATGTTTCTGCTATCTCTCTGATGGATTTGTTTTGTTTTTAAAGCCTAATAATCGCCTGTTTCACCTGCATGGAGAGATCATTTGACCGCATGATGTGGGTTCACAGCAACAGCTTCCAAATGCAAATGGCACACTTAGAATCAACTCCAGACCCTTTACCTGCTTAATTGATGTAGAAATAACAAAGGAATAGCCCACATCTGTTCATGAAATGGCTTTTGAGTCAACTGTCCAATTACTCATGGTCCCTTGAAAAAGGCAAGGCAAGGCAAGGCAAGTTTATTTGTATAGCACATTTCAAACACAATGGTAATTCAAAGTGCTTTACATAAAAGAAAAGAAAAAAAATAATCACAACAATAAAACAAGAATAAAACACAACAATTTAAAAACTTCGAAAATTATTTAAAAAATTGATTTAAGAGGTTTAAAATGAATTTAAGAAAACGATTACACAGAATAGTGCAATCAGTTCGGACATCGCACAGTGCTCATTCAATGAATGCACAGCTAAACAGATGAGTTTTGAGTCTGCATTTAAATGTGACTAATGTTTTAGCACATCTGATCTCGGTGCAAGAATTGAGCCTTGTGGGACTCCGCATGTCATGGACGTCCACTTAGACTTATGCTCTCCTGTACTCACATAATAACCTCTCCCCTCTAAGTATGGCCTGAACCATTTGATTACCATCCCATCCAGTCTCTCTAGTAGTATGTTATGATCGACAGTGTCAAACGCAGCACTGAGATCTAGTAGTACCAGCACTGATATTTTGCCAGATTCAGAATTTAAGCGAATATCATTTATTATCTTAATGAGCGCTGTCTCTGTGCTGTGATGCGGTCGAAAACCCGATTGAAAATTATCCAGGTATCCATTTGAGTTTAAGTATTTGTTCAGCTGATTAAAGACTACCTTTTCAATAATCTTTCCTATAAAAGGAAGGTTTGATATTGGTCTATAGTTGCTCAATATGGTGTTATCAAGATTGCTCTTTTTCAGAAAGGGTTTAACAACTGCAGTTTTCAGGGAGTTTGGAAAAGTCCCAGAAAGAAGTGAGGCATTCACCACTTCTAAGAAATCTGCTTCCAAACAGTTAAGCACCCTTTTGAAAAAATATGTGGGAAGTGTGTCAAGATAGCAGGTTGACGGTTTAAAAGGGGGGAGGTACATATTCATTGTATAACTGTAACTTGAAAATGTTTTGGTCAACAGCTAAAATAAAATAAAAAATTGTGCCTGTGTCCAAATATATAGGGACCTAACTGTATATATAAATATATAAACACACACACACATATATATACATACAGTTGTGCTAATAATTGAAACAAAATAAGAGGGAACATTAAAATTGCATGTTATTTTTTATGTAACCTGAATAAGCTATTTCACATAACAGATATACTCCACAAGACAAAATAATAACTGAATTTATAAAAATGTCCCCATTCAAAAGTTTACTCTTGAAGTTTATAGTTTAATCTTAATACTATGTGTCATTTCCTGGATGATCTACGGCTGTTTTTATATTTTGTGATAGTTGTTCATGAGTCCCTTGTTGGTCCGGAGCAGTTCAACTGCCTGCTGTTCTTCAGAAAAATCCTCCAGCTCCTGCACATTCTTTGGTTTTCCAGCATCTTCTGCATATTTGAACCCTTTCCAACATTGAATGTATGATTTTGAAATCCATCTTTTAACACTGAGGAAAATTGAGGGACTCATGCATAACTATTACAAAAGGTGAAAACATGTACTGATGCTCAAGAAGGCCACACAATGCATTAAGAGACTGGGGGTGTTTTTACTGTATTCTGTATTTTTGATCAAATAAATGCAGCATTGGTGAATAACATTTTTAAAAATTCTTACCTACCTCAAACTTTTTAACAGTAGAATGTATATATTTCAGACAAAAAAGGTGAAAACTAATTAAATTAGAATTTCACATTTGCTTGTGATTTCCTTCCATGAAATACAAAAGAGGCAATTCTGAAGAAAGGGTGAAAGATCATTACAATTTACATGCATTTGGTAGACACTATTATCCAAAGCCACTTACGGTGCATTAAATACATTCGTTGTATTTTCTTTTTTTACACAAAAGCATCATAAAAGTGGTCCACAAGATTCGTATTCTAGAATGAATGTCAAAATTGTCAGTGAATAATGAATTAATTTTCACTGTTAAAGGGAAATGTATTGTGCTTCAATTCTTGCACATCCTTTTGCAAATGGCTTTTTTTATCCATATTAACAATTGTATCTGATTCATAGATTATTTTTAAATAATGTACAGTATTTGAAAAATATAATGTGTTTTTTGAACATTAAAGCATGTCAACATATTCTGTTACACCAAATACACAAAATAATGATCTTTAAAAAAGCCTCATATGACCCCTTTAACAAATGAAAAGGCTTTACAACATTAGCAGTATTTACAGCCGTTAGTTAGTTACCTGTAAAATAAAGACAAATTACACACTAGGACAATATAATCAATTGTCTAAAAATCTTATTAACAATTACCTGCTTAGAGTTGAGGTGGACATTAAGCACATGCTATGAGCTTTCAACTACAGTTTTGCTGATTCTCAAATTTTCTCTAGTCCCAAAGCACTTGTGCCGAAGGCTTAATCTGTCTCACTGTCAAAACCGGTCTAAGCTCCTCACAAAATGTGTTGCGACAGCACAGAGACGCTGTGATAACAACATCACACACGAGAAATATACCTTCAGTTTATCCAAACACGTAACTATAAAAACCTCCAAGACGTATGGAAATGTAGTCTAGGTTGCATATCGGAGACCCCGGCAGGTTCCCGATGGAATCCTGTCTGTGAATTATGTTATAAGGTGCTGTAGTAGTCGATGTGAGTGTGTGTGTGTTTGTGTGTGTGCTGCGAGCATACAGAGTGGGCATTCATTTACAGAGCTTTTCAATGCGGGAAGTCAGCCAGCCGCTCTGGTCCATTCACTAACCTGTCTCTGAGAACCAAACATAGCTCTTCTGCAAATATCACAATATGCTATTTAAAGCAAGTAACACAGAGTGTTATGATGCAAGTGGGTGCAAAAGCATGACCGGTGAGGGGGTTAGAGGAGGAAGACGTGCTGGCATGATTAATTACGGCAATTTACTGATTAGGGCATTGAACACAGCTCTGCATTGACACTGTAAACACAGCTGTACTGTCCAACCACAAGAACATTGGGGGGTTAATACAGACAAGAAAACACACACTGGTAAACAAACACACACAGATGTGGATCCTAATCTGCAAGATGATGAATTTATAGCTCTAAATAGCAATTTCTGAATTTAGGCCGTACTATTAATGGGCTTCAAAGTTACTTTGAGATTTCAAGGCATGGATGTGAGACTGGCATTACCATGCAGCTGCTAAAGTGCTCGGAGTGATTTTAACCCTTCTCTTGCATTCAAAAACTGGGTATAACTTCTGTGTCAGGGGTCAAATAGGGGACCAACAATTGCATTTTGCCTAAAATCAACACTTTGACTCATGTTAGAAATAGAACCTCTATTGTAGCTGGCCAGAGACTAAAAAAATTAAATACGTTAAGAATTTTAATAATTCCTTTCCATTATTGATGTATTTCTATTGTGTTAGGGGTTCATTTGACCTGCTTTTTAAAAAATGTAAGTGCACATTTCCTGCATAGACACACAATTTTAAAAAATCATGACAACTTATCATAACTGTGCAAATTGTGTAAAAATAGTATTTAACATTCACAGTTTCAGTGCTAGAACAGTTCAGTAATTAAGATTTTTTGACAGCTTTTTTTGATGGTGAAACTCAACTAGAAAGAGGAACACTGAATTTTCCTTAGATGATTCTTCCTCAGAAGACAAGTCTCAATATTGTGTTTGAGTCTTAAAATTCTGACATTTTTTCATATTTGTGGTTAATTCATATCTGTAATCATTTTAAACATACTACTCACACAAACACATACACTTACATGCTTGATGGCATTGCAGCATAGTTTTTTTTCTCACCTGATTGGCTGTGTTGATGTTTATTCCATTTTTTATTTGGTCCAGAGCCTTTTCTAGATTACCTGAGCGTGCAGCACGGAGGAAACTGGTTGATGTATCTGCCTGAAATAGATAGAGAGAATAGGAAATGAAATCTAAATCCAAATCTTAATCGACAAATGGATTGTTAAATTACAGTTTGTTTGTTTTTTTGCACAAGGTCTTTTGGATGTTTAGCACTAAATAAAACATCAGTGATACAGACTGACTTACAGCTCTAATTAGGAATTCATTCTGTGTTGTGCACGTCCACAGAGAAGATGAGAAGATCTGGTTTCAGCCGGCTCAGGGGCCATATAACTACAACACATCAGTTACTGAATCAGTTTTTCTCTGTAAAATCATCTAATTTTCAGAAGTTATGAAGTGTGAGGTTATATACAGGGCTGGTTTTGCCCCTAAAGACATATCGGCATTTGCTTCAAAGCTGAAGTGCGTAATTTTAAAAATATATTTTCTTGTAAACTAGCTAAATTTGTTTAAAGGGGTCCTATTATGCTTTTCACTTTTTTAATTTTAGTCAGTGTGTAGTGTGTATGTTTGGGCATAAAAAAGATCTAGAGAGTTGCAAATCTCAAAGTCCACTCCAAAGGGAGATATTTCATTTTTTTTTAAATCCCTTTTCAAGAACTACAACGAACGGCTTGTTTGGACTACAGCGTTGGTTTCTGGGCTTTGTGATATCACAAAGCGGCTCATTAGAATATCATTAAAAATAATTCCCACTTACAGAATTTCGAATGGTTGGGGGGTGGGGAGGGGCGAGGTTGTGGTTAGAACGCTTGGTTGAGTGAGTGCATCAGACGAGACGACGAAGAAGAAGTGCTGCTGCAGAGTTAGTGCATCAGAGAAAACGAAGAAAAAGAGCTGCTGTGCTGTAGCGTCAAATTTTCGGCATGTCTAGAACAATTCTTACAAGTACAACATGACATAGCTGGGTGCCGCGGACAGATGCCAAACGGCGCCGCCGGTGTGCCTACACTCATTAAAAACAAGGGGATACTCATACTCATCTCTTCTCATACATCTTTATTAATGTTCCCTGTTAGTCTAAGTTCTTTGTTATTTTTTATCTATCATCTGTGCCTGTCTCTCTCTTTGTCTGTTTGTCTGTCTACAGAGCATTCCTCTTGATCTCAGCTGTACTTTTCTCAGTGGAATAGCTAACAACCTCCATACCTACTGTTCCCAACCTTCTCTTTCTCTTTCGTCTTTCTCTCTCCCTCCTGTAGCGTTTATGCTAATGAGTCCAGAACAGAGAGCTTTTCTGATTCCCATATGCACTGCAATATTTCAAAAACATGACTATATCGCCCTGTTTATTTTGCGCCTTCGGCTCCCTACCCAGAATTCTTCATTCCTGCTGCTCAGTATTAAAAAATCCATGAGTGATATTTTGTGGTTTTCCATGCGATGACTAATACAATTTGCTCTGATGTGGTCACAGTTACAGTATACTGAGTCCTTGAATTGATTTGTCAGATACTCTGCAGTCTAGAAATTTTCAGATTGTCTCTGCTCTGTTATTCAGTGGGGATGATTGACAGGCCCTACCCACCCCCTCATTTCCTCAGTCCTCAGGTGACAGCATAGCAAAATGTGTCCATCAACATGACTGCGCAGTAATAATGTGTGCGCCATCATATCTTACTGAAAGGAACTGCTGAATCACTTTAGGATTTAATTTTGTTTCATTTTGGGACCAACATACATTTTTGAACAGTCATTCTTTATCAATCATTATCCACAATTAGCCTGCTGAATTTTTTGTGATTCTTTAATCATACTGATACTCATCACACAAAAAACAAACACAGATAAGTTATCATCGTCATTCTGTTAAAATATTTCAGCTAGAAATTGTCTGCCCTTTCTGATTCTGTAGCAATTTCCAGAATGTGTTCTCATATATTTAGAGTGTCACTAATATATTCTGTGGTGTCTAATGGTATTGAGTTGACACTCAGAACACAGTTACTTTTTTTGATAGCTCTTGAATAACTGTGAGAAGGTTTTTGGGTCATTATCTTCCTGAAAAATGAATGTCCACCTCAAACATAATTCTGATGGATTGACTTGTCTCTGAGGTACTGAAAAGGACATGCTGGTTGATCTTGTCGTGGGCTTGGCACCAAATTGTCATCAGCATGAAATTGGCACAGCCTTCTTCAAGCTTGACAATGTGAATGTATTTTTAGTACCTGGTGACAAACAGTAAACAAATTAACAATATATTTACTCAGATGATGGCCAGTGTGTATATATGATACAGTATATTGTATACTAGAATGTATACATTACACATACACATAGTGTATACACACACACACACATATATACTGTATATATATACACTCTAATGTTCACAAGTTTGGGGTTGGTATGATTTTTTTATGTTTTTGAAAGAAGTCACTTATGCTTACCAAGGCTGCATGTATGCATCAAAAATACAGTAAAAACAGTAATATTGTGAAATATTATCACAGTTTGGAATGATTTTTTTCTATTTTAATATATTTTAAAATGTCACTTATTTCTGTGATGCAAAGCTGAATTCTCAGCAGCCATTACTCCAGCCTTTAGTGCCACATGATCTGTCTTCCTTTCAGGGTGCTTAAGAAACATTTCTTATTATTATCAATGTTGAAAACAGTTGTATTGTTGGTTGGTTGGTTGATTGATTGATTGATTGATTGATTGATTGAAACTGTGATGCATTTTTTCAGATTCTTGGACTAATAGAAAGAAAGAACTGTCTTGTTTTGAAATAGAAATCTTTTGTGACATTATAAATATCACTTTTTTCACATTTTTTTTATTTAATACATCCTTGCTAAATAAAATGATTGCTTTTTTTTATTAAACGTAATAATTGAATTTAAAATGTTTAATTAAAAAAAATCTTACAGACCCCAAATGTTGTATATATATATATATATATATATATAGATTATTATTATTATTTTTTTTTTATTTTTTTATTTTTTTTTAATAAAAATTGTCCACTTATTTTTTATTCATTACATATTAAATGCAAGTGGTTGCACAAATGCAATGAACAGCAGGTTGCAAATTTGTCACCACTTTGACTTTAAACATTTTAAAACATGAATAATGTAATGAAGATTTGTATATCAGTTCATACATCTGTGCATGCGTTTGTGTATACTGACTTTCGCTAATTTTTATTGTTTGATATAATCTATATTATCCCTTCGTAATCTTTTCAGTACATCTGCAGATAATGTAAGTGACATTCTGACAGATATCAGCAATCAGAAGCCACAGCAGGAGACAATCCCTGAGTGAGCTTTTACAGCAAAAACCATCTGATAAACACACAAAACACGCACTTAAACACACACAGAATCTCATGTTAGGAATACGAATAAAGTCACACACATAGAACACAGTAAGCGCCATTAAGAATGAGAGAATGGTGAAGAAACACTAGAGGAACACTAGCGAAGCTAACTGAAGTTTTTAGCCACATCACGACATTCAAACACAAGACCTGCCACCAGATCCACAACAACCACAAGAATACCACAGACAGAAACGATTAAGAAGCCACAACAACACACACGATTTATCAGGAAAGGGAAATAAATTGTTGAGAGGCAGTACTAAGATATTTACTCTTCCACCAAAGTGCCATTTTCCACCTTGAGCCTCCGACGAACCCTCTCCACTCAAACTACTGTCCTGATGCACAAGCCAGCGCTGAACCACATGAGCCTAGAAGACACCAATACCACAAAGACAGAGCGTGTTAATACACACAGACACAAACATGAGACACATATGGGCAGGTGAAAACACTGAAACTGCATGTTCAAGGCTGTGGTAGCACAAATAGACCATGAATTGTGCTCCATTAAATAAGTCATTTTAAACTACAAATATGAGCACGTGAAAATGTATAAACACAATCTGCTTAAATGCCTTCAATCTTTTTAAAAGCAGTATAAAAGTGCGCTAACAAAAAACAACACTATTGACCTTTTCGAGGAGTAAGAGGGAGAAACCCAGTTGCATTAAAGGGATTCCAGCTCTGGGTGCACTCCAAGACTGGTTGCTAAGCAGTTGCTAGGAGAGAGATTACATCATTTTCAAGATTCACAAAAGCCTACATGTGTGGCATCTATTGATGCAGGGACCACGCTGACTCTGAGTGAGCACGTGAAGATGCAGAGAGCAAAATAATAGTTCTGGATTTCTGTTCAGATAAACCCAAATACTTTATAACCCTATTTATGTATGTACACAGTAGACATAATTAATATTATAAAAGATTTCAATTTGAAATAAACACTTTTCTTTTGAACTTTCTATTCATCTTTTTTAGGAATCCTGAAAAAAATGCATCATATTATTCACGAAAACTTAAGCAGCAGGACTGTTGTAAACAATGATAATAATAAATGTTTCTTTTGAGCAGAAAATCAGCATATTAGTATGATTTCTGAAGGATCATGTGACACTGAAGACAACTTCAGCTTTGTAATCACAGTTATAAATTACATTTCAAATAATTTAAATAATTCGAAATTGTAATGCTGTTTCACAATATAAATATATACAGTGATTTTGATCAAACAAATGCAGTCTTGGTGAGTAGAAGAGACTTATTTAAAATGTAATATGTTTTGGGTTGTTTTTTAACCTCATATGAAAATGAGAAGAGAATGAGGATACAGGAATAGAAAATTACACAGTCTGGATTTATGTCGTGCGTGTTCAGGCTACTTCTTTACCATTGCTCTGACACATCAAATATGTAGCTTTATGCTTACTATTATATAAGAAAAAGGTTTCAAAATCACAAGGGTGCTCTATTTAGCTAGTCCAGCTTAAGTGTCTGTTTTGTTTTGTTAAATTGAAGCAAAGTGGGTTGATTACTTGAGCTTCAGCACCATTCATCATTTAAATGGCTGATCTGTCTGTCAGTCTGACCGTTTCATTCATTAGCTCCAAACACCAGGTCAACAAAATAATAATAAAAGGCATATGAAAGATAGATAGAGACAGGAGTAAGCTTTTTTTAAGTCTTTTAAAATGCA